CCCCAAAACCCCAAAACCCCAAAACCCCAAGATTATGATTTAAACATATAATGGTTGAAATAAAAATAAAATTGAAAAGTATAAATTAATTCAGAAATCGCTTTAAAGAATGGAAAATCTAGCATCTACCACACAAAACTAGGAAGCTCAGCAAGAAGAAGAGAAGCAGCCACCGTCAATCAATCAATCGACTCTCAACATTAATAGTTAAGAATTCAAGCCTACAAATACTGTACAATCAAGTACATAAGCACAGACTCATTTCTCTCTTAATGCTCAAGAATTCATTCCAAAAGATAAATAGAATCACTAAAACAATCAGCAAGCGCAGCATCACGCTTAAATAAGTTAAAAACTAGCTTCTATTACTAGTGATGATTAAAGAGTGAAGGATTTATTAAGCATTGTAATTTTCAATCTCATTTTAAGCAAATATTTAGATGGATAGGTAGTTAACCTTGGAAGGCATTAGAGAATCTTAGTATCTGGTTCATGCCATTGACAAAGAGGATTTAAGTATTAAGTTCGAAGTCTTATTCTAAGAGCCAAAGATCCAAACTTACTTCTAGTAACTTGGGGCAGACCTATTCTCACAATAGATCATAATGTCGCATGCTTTACTTTAGCTTTAGAATGCAAAGTCAGATTTCTAAAAGCAGAGAGCTTTCCTGAGACAAATAGATAGGAAATCTTTATTGGTATCTAGCATAAAATCTTTAGATTAAAGTCTCATTCTCTCAATAATAAATGATAGCAATTTTTAAGCAAAGTCAATAGAAGGCAAGTTCAAGGATTCTTACACTATCTTATTTGAGACTGAAGAATAGGCTAATATTGCTAAAGATGCATTATTCAAGAAACTGATACAAACTCATTCAGATGTGAAGGTGGACTATGATATCGATGCTGATAGGAAAACTGCACTTGAGGCACATTTGTAGAGAATCTAACAGTCGTAAAAACCCTGGGGAGCTCTTGGCGTAAATGAAGCTGGTGTATCCAGAGCGGCTAAATATAGACCTAAAAATAGTATGGATGAATTGACATAAGAATAGAGAACTAGATTGTTCTCTGAACAGATAGTGAATAATAATGGCACTGTGAAAGATGTAGGGTATAGCAAGAGTAAGTATTTTCATTGCTTTTTATTAAAATATAGAGTTCATACAATATAGTATGGAACAATTAGTTAAAATTTTTAACAACCTAAATCTCCCAGAGACTATGAATTAAGAATTCAAAGATAGATACTCAGATGAATTAGTGAGGAATGTATTCCGTGACACAAAAAGGATTGAATTATGCATTAATGATGCAGATATCATATCTATGAGTAGAAGTGATAGAGGCATAAGTATGGATGAAACACATGCTGATGCTACCTAAGAAAGTCAAATGAAATTAAAAAAGACAACTGTATTGACAGGTAATCATGCTCCAAAGCAAGAGAAAAGAGATAGAGCCAGGTCTGATAATGATTTCCACAATATGTTTAAGAATGATCTTTAAAGCCATGCAGCTTCTATAAATAACAACACGAGCGGGGAGAAGAAAGAACAGAATGAAAATGACAAGAAATATCTCCCAAAAGGAGTGTCAAAGAATTCCCTTGAAGTCCACCCAGAAATGAATGAGTATATTGCCTATAGAAAGAAGAGTCATGCTGTATGATTCTTCGAACAAGACATTGAAGCTACATCGATAACCTTGATTAAGCTTTGACGAAACTCCTCAGGATTTTAGGCAGTTTTGTAGTTATATCTGGGGGATAACTCTGAAAGTATGAGCTTCACTTTAGAGTTGTCCTTCCAACTAAGATATTAAAGAGTGAGAGTGAAAACTTTACTCGTCTCTCCTAACTTTTTGTATTTAAATTTACATCTATCAATTTTTTGCCTCTTAGATTTATGGGGTTTTGGGGTTTTGGGGTTTTGGGG